ATTATATATTAATTGACAGCGTTTATAAACAGCTGTTAAAACACAGACCTTTGTAAACCGGTAAATCACAAAAAAGAAAAATCCGAGACAAAAAACAGAAAATATAAATGTCTCTGGAAATAACATTGCCTTTAGATAACTAAAATAAATTAATGTCCGCCGATTTTTGAATTTATCTGAACATTCATTGATGTGTACCTGTACAAGCAGTGTGTATATTTTTTATGAAGCCTTCGTCCAAACGAACAATATAATAAATCTTGAATGAATTAACTAACACCTCAGTACACACACATTCGCCTACACCTGAAATCTAATCAAAATCGGATCTTTTTTACGGCCCGAAATTCTGTGTGAAATACACGTGCTTAACAGTAGTCAGTGCGAGTTCCGATTAACAGTTTTCAGCATTCCTATGAGGAAAAAAATATATCCATATACTGTTCATGTTTTTTTTTTTTTTTTACCAAATTTAGAACAATATAATTCATTTAAATAATTTCACTTTACTGTATTAATGTGCAAGCATTTCCCTGAAATTGTCGAATGACCGGAAAGCTGTAATATTTGATGGTGAGCGTTTGCAGCGAGTGGGTGCGTGAACGTTATAAAAGATATCAATAAAATATAACAATTTTTTCCCCTCGATATTTACTTCTTTTGTAAACAGTGGTTTGTTTTTAATTTAAACATTTCTCCAATTACAGAAGATGGAATGTGCATGGTGATGAACTTCACAAAACAATTAAAACAGGGGGGGGGGGGGGGGGTATATCACTAAAAATTATTATTCTCAATAATACTCAAAAAAAAAATCAATGCCAAGTTTACTTGAATATATTCTGTTTCTTTGTGTATTAAGTATTAGTCGCAATCATTTCCTGTGTATAGGGATTAGCAGAGCAAGAACAGGAAACGGCATGCCCTAGGGGTTTCACACCTGTCCTAGAGTACCTGTGGTAAATTTCTCTGCATGTGCAAGGCATTGTCTAGCCATACAACACACCAGTCCCTTCAACGTTTAATTATTTCATTATTTCTTCATTTTCAAATGTAACTACAACCATGAAAGTTACGCGAGTCAATATATACATTTTTTTTACCCTGAGTGTATGTTAAAAGGAAAAAGATCAATCATACTTTTAAAACAAATTAATAGAGTTTAAATGAAATAAAGTAGATCAAATCAAATTATGTTTTATTACTTGTTTTAAATGCCGACGGGCTTGGTATTTATGTTTCTGTTTAATATATATGTACATAAGTAGAATGTAAAATAAAAAAACGTACAGAATGTTACGGCATGTGCAACATTTTTCCTTCGGTCAGTTTATTGATTTATCGAGTCCATCGATTAAAACAAAATATTCATGATAGAATTTCAATGAAATGAATTGCTTCTGAAATATTTTTTTTTCCAGTTTCAATATGTCGTTTCTGTGAACAGATAATATACTGTAGCCGATTTATCAGTTTATTGTCCAGTTGTGGACTTTGACTAATTCTACGATCAAGTTTCTGAAAAACACCGAAATAGTGACAGCCACAGACACTATTTAAGGTCTTCCGTTTAAATAGCACGATTAAAGACAAAAATATCTACCGAAACAAGATATAATAACATATTTTGGTGACATGTGGTAGGTACATGTATATGATATTTTAGGCCCGATATCCAAGAGGGGTCTAGTGTTAACAAATGGAAGTGACTTACCTTCTCTATTTCATAATACCGCGGGTATGATTTTTTAATAAAACGTTAATTCTACGTTATTTTTATGGATTTTTCATATGGAATACATTGTAAATGTGTACTAGAAGATTAATTTATGGAAAAAGACGAATAAAAATATTCTTGGACCCCGGGGTGTATGTTGGGGGGGGGGGGGGGGGGGTTCCTGTCCACAAGCACCTGTGCAGCATTCAAGCTTAAAAGACCATTCAAACAATACAAATCAGGAACAGTGCAAATCTTTTGAAATCAGGTAGAATCAAGTGCCATGGATCTGTCATGTTGTAAATTTTGAACTTACCGGTTGTCAGTATTTACTGCCACCCGGTAAATTCAAAATTTATAGCATGAGAGATCCTTTTCATGCTAGCACTTACCCCGACACGAGACCTTATACGGTGTCATCCAAAGGACCGATCTCCACGTTTTACTACTTATCCAAACTGGGCATAAAACATTCTCAATGAATTTTTTAATCATTATGTTGAACCTAACAAATTATTCCGACTCGCTGTATGATCTGAAAAAACATGGCTGAACTTATCCATTCAGAAACTCACAGACTGGGATTGCTTTTAATCAGTGTGTGTTATGGCCTTGATGCAAGGTCATTTGGTCGAGTCAAGGTCACTGACAGAGAAACTGTAATTTCGCTACCGTATTTGTACTAGTGAAACATTGCTGGTATCATGCAGAGTGTGACATGGCCTTGACTCAAGTTCAAGGTCACTAAGGATAAGATGTTTTGACTGTATGTATGGACTAAAAGAACATGACGTGTCACTGTGAACTTTTCAAGTCGGTAACACACAGATTGGGTTTTATGACGAGAGTGTGTCATGGTTTGATGCAAGGCATTTGGAATGTTCAAGGTCACGTACATTCCTTTACAGTTTTTCCTAGCGAAATATTGTAAGTTGCTTCCCCTTACAAGATTGCTTACATGTATAACTTTAGAATGTGGCATGACCTTGACTCAAGGTCACTTCTTCCTTCCGCAGCTCCAACGGAAGACCTATTCGTTGCTTTGCAACGAGCTCGCTCTAGTTCTAATTAACTTTTCTGATCATATTTTGTCAATTTGTCCATTTATCTGTCCATCCATCTGTGTGTCCCTCTGTCTGTAAACTTTTCACATTTTCGACTTCTTCTCCAGAATCACTGGGCTAATTAATTTCAAATGAACTTGCCTCAAAGCATCCTTTGGTGATGGGGATTCCGGTCTGTTCAGGTCAGGCACCTGGGGGTTGGGTTAGGTCACAACAAGGATCAAAGTTTTACATAGGATTATATAATAGAAAAAAAAAATCTACTATTGAGGAACAGCAGGGCCTTATTGACTCAGGTGAGCATTGTGGCTCATGGGGCCTCTTGCATAATTATCAATATACAGCTTTATAACAAATAAAAAAAAAATGATTTCACCAGTTATAACATCAATATGCAATTATATTGTACTATGAAAATGCAATCTTAACAATGTATTACACTGAGATAGTGTAATCTATTCGTCCCTGGTGAGTAAATGAGTTGGACATGAGATGAGCATTATGATAAGTCTGTCCATTGAAAAATTAATCAGTTCAACGTAGGAAGGCTGTCTTAATCATTTCTGTTAGAGCATCTCTGATCAAACAGGTGTTATCTATATCTCTTGGGAATTGGGCAGAAGAATTGAAGATCTAGTCTCTAACTCTCTAATTGATAGCATTTGTCAAATTAAAACACATAGCCTTTTATCAGTGAAACTTCTTTAAACCTGCCCCCCTGAAAACCGGTTCTCCCTAAATATCGGCCTAATTTGTAAGTCCCGGCAGTATTCTTAACATTTGTTTACACATAAATTCTCATAAAACCGGCCACCCCTGAAAAGCGGACATCAGCCACTTTCCAAGAACAAAATGTAAGAAACATTGGTAATTTCCCCCTCATTATACCAGCCACTGTTTAATTGCAAGAAATTTAACTGTCATAGGCCAGAGGGGTAATAATGACCAGCCAGAGGTGTGAAAAATACCAACCAGTAGTCAGAGGTATGAAAAACAGTAAACGGCTTCTTAGGGTTTTCAATTGTTTACCTGCGTTATTAAGGGGTAGTCATCATGCCATACTACGTAAGTGGCTGATAAAATATCAAACAACTATTAAATTAATAAAGTGTCAAACACGTAATGAATTAACAAAATATCAAACGCCATGTTGCATCATACTTTTAAATAGACATAAGCGGCCTTAGCCTTGGACACTGAAGAAAGCAAAAACTTAGAAAGAAATTAAAATTTTTTATCGAAATATATGTTTCATGATTAAAAGAACAGAAATTTAGCTCAGAAATGATCTAATTATTTACATTTCACTGAAGTACAAGCAAATTTATTAATGACGTAAGCGATAGGCATATAGCATGTATAGATAGTTTAGGTAAGGAGATGCTTTTTTTCACAGATGAATAATAAAATGACTTTTCCATAGTCTTTTTCTGTTTTAATTTTAGAATAAATCTTTGAAAAATAAAAAATCAAAAGGAATGTCGAAATTATCCTTACTGACAGAGTATTTTGCATGGATTTTTAGACCTTTGGTACACATTAGGTACCTGCCAATAATCAATCACAGGCAGACTGATAATCATAAAAGATGCTAATTTTATATATTAAATCCCAACATCTGGCAGATACATGTAACTCTACATGCAATGATACAGCTTGTATATTTTTCTTTAATAATTTAAAATACTCAAAATTACTTAGCTGGAAAAGGCGTTGTATTGCTTATTACAACATTAGCCATAAACACTACATTAATGCTATAATTCTGCAACTACTGTAAATCTACAACATTCTCAGTCCAGCAGCTTGCAGGTTTAGAGAAGTTTTACTGTATTTTCAAATTAATTTGGTATTAATTTTGAAAACTAATTTGATATTATATAATATGTTTTTATTTTATGTTTTGGTCACCCAAATCACTCAGCTGACCTACATGTATCTATTTTTGTCCTTCATCATCCGTCACGAGTCGTCCGTTGGTCGTTACCTATTGAACATTTTCAACTTCTTCTTTTGAACAGCTGAAGCAATTCCAGTTTTAAAATAGGGGGGAAAATGAGGTTATATGCATGTTAAATGAAAAAAAGATATATTGCGTACTGTGTCACATGATTGTCACATCTATATAAGATCATCAAACAAGTATCTTGTTAAAATTGCATTAAAAGAAACGATCTTGTTAATTTTACAGGGGAAAAGGGCAGCTTTTTCATCCAGACAACACATTAAAAGCAATTCTGATAAACCAGATGTGTATGGAAAGGCATTCAATGAATCGGAATTCTTACAAAGACACATGAGGACACATACAGGGGATAAACCTTTTCTATGTGATGTGTGTGGAAAGGCTTTCAGTCAAAAACAACACTTAGAGAGACACATGAGGACACATAAAGGTGATAAACCGTATAAATGTGATGTGTGTGGAAAGGCATTCAGTGTATTAGGTTCCTTACAAAGACACATGAGGACACATACAGGGGATAAACCTTACAAATGTGATCTGTGTATGAAAACTTTCAACCAATCACATAACTTACAGGTACACATGAGGACACATACAGGTGATAAACCTTATCCATGTGATGTGTGTGGAAAGGCTTTCAGTCAAAAACAACAATTAGAGACACATATGAGGACACATACAGGGGATAAACCTTATAAATGTGATGTGTGTGGAAAGGCATTCAGTGTATTAGGATCCTTACAAAGACACATGAGGACACATACAGGGGATAAACCTTACAAATGTGATGTGTGTATGAAAACTTTCAACCAATCACATAACTTACAGGCACACATGAGGACACATACAGGGGATAAACCTTATCCATGTGATGTGTGTGGGAAAGCTTTCAGTCAAAAACAAAACTTAAAGACACACATGAGGACACATACAGGGGATAAACCTTATAAATGTGATGTGTGTGAGCAGGCATTTAACCAGTTAGGTAACTTACAGACACACATGAGGACACATACAGGGGATAAACCTTATAAATGTGATGTGTGTATGAAAACTTTCAACCAATCAAACAACTTACAGACACACATGAGGACACATACAGGCATAAAATCTTATAAATGTGATGTGTGCGGGAAAGCAATCTCTGTACCTGAACACATGAAAATCCATACTGGTGAGAAAAGTTATATACGTAATGTGTCTCAGAGAATGTTGAGAGAAAAATCAGATTTAAAGGGACATTTGAGGACACACACAGGTGAAAAACAGAGGATTTCTATTAAAACAGCTGATTTTCCAAAACACCCTAGGTCACGTAGAGTTGAAAAACATTCCAAGTATAATGAGATATGTAGTCAGTCAAATAACATAGAGGGACACAGTATCACATGTTTGGGTGAAGCTACAGATAAATGTGATGTTTGTTGGAAAGTGTCTAGTAAATCAATGTATTTACAAAGACACAAGAAGATACATACAAGTGAAAAACCTCATAAATGTGACTTTTGTGGAAAAGCATTCGGTGAAAAAGGGCACTTGATGGGACATATGAAGACACGTAATGGGAACAGTCTTGAAACTTTTGCTAAAAAAGAGCACTGTAACAAGCACCTGAAGTTACGTGATGACAGTAATCCTTATAAATGTGATCAGTGTGAAGAGTCCTGTGGTCAAAAACGTTACTTACAAAAGCACATGAAGAGACGAGCATGTGAAAAGCTTTTGAAATGTGATGTGTGTCAGAAGACGTTCATTGAAAAAATTGATTTAGAAAGACACATGAAAACACATCAATGTAAAAACCCATTTGTTGATATGTGCAGGATGGAAAATTATCAAATCGGGCAGTTTGATGAACCAGTAAGGATTTCTATTTATAGAGGATCCTGTCTGTGCGAAGTGTGTGGGAAGATGGTCACATGTATGGAGAACCACATGAGGATACACTCACATGAGAAACCTAACAAATGCAGTACGTGTAACAAAGCCTCCAATCTAAAAACATCATTGCTAAGACACACAAGGACACATACATGTATGAAACCCTATAAATGTGATGTATGTAGGAAAATATTTAATATATCAGAACAACTAGAGAGACACGAAAAGACACACACAGAATACAGACCTTACAAGTGTGATATGTGTGAAAAGACATACAAACACTCACATCGCTTACAGACACACATGAGGTCACATACGGGTGAAAAACCTTATCAGTGTGATGTGTGTGGAAAATTGTTTATAGTTTTAAGTACTTTACAGGTACACATGAGGACACACACAGGTAATAAACCTTATAAATGTGATGTGTGTTGTAAGGCATTTAACCAATCAAATCACTTACATAGACACATGAAGATGCATACAGGTGAAAAGCCGTATAAATGTGGTGTGTGTGAAAAGGCATTCAACAGTTTAGGTAACTTACAGAGACACAAGAGGACTCATACAGGATATAAACCTTATAAATGCGTTGTGTGTTGGAAGGCATTCCGCCAATCAAACAACTTACAGGCACACATGAGGACACATACAGGTGATAAACCTTATAAATGTGATGTATGTGGGAAATCATTCAACCAATCCCGTAACCTACAGGCACACATGAGGAGACATACTGGTGAAAAGCCTTATAAATGTGATGTGTGTGGGAAGGCATTCAACAGATTAGAAAACTTAAAGGTACACATGAGGACACATACTGGACAAAAACTTTATAAATGTGATGTGTGAAAAGACATTTTACTGATCATATTCTTTACAGAGGCACGGGAGGACACATACTGTACAGGTAAAAAAAACCTTTTAAATGTGTTGTGTGTGAAGGCATTCAACTGTGTTGGAAGGCTTTCTCTTATTCAGGTTCCATACAAAAGCAGCTGAGATAACATACTGGTGTTAAACCATATAAATGTGATATGTGAGTGAAAAGGTATTCAACTGATCAGATATCTTACGGAAACACACAAGGACACGCACAGGTGATAAAAGATATTAAATGTATGTGAAACGACATTTACCTCATCACTTGACTTGAATGTGTACTGGTATTGGGAAGGCATTCAGTCCAGTCAAATAAGAAGTTTACAGAGATGCACTTGGACATACAAACCATATAGATCTGATGTATGTGGGAAGGCATATGTTTAGAATATCAACACTCAAAGATATACATAAAGATGAATGCTAGTGAAACTCCCTATGAAGGTGATATCTGTTGAAAAGAAATTTTAATTATCAGACATTGGAGAAAAACCCTTTTGTATGTGACAGTGAAAAGTTTGAAAGATTGATCTGTACATTTACATATATACTTGAGAACACGTACAGATTTTGTCCTTATAAACGTGATGTGTGTGGGAAAAATTGGGAGTTTGGAAGTGTTGAAATAACATGTAATTCGTGTGGAAAGGTACTAAACGATTCAAAGGGTTTACAGAAACACATGAAAATACACAACAGAGAAAAACTTCATTTATGTGATGTGTTTGGAAAGGCATTGGTTGAAAAATGACACTTGAAATGAAACCTGAAGATGGATTCATGTACTTTGGGAAAAATGTGATACATTTGATATACAACAACATATGTGATGCGTGTTGGAAGGCACTCAGGTACTATATAGAGACAATGGAATATTACATAAAGGACTAGAAAATCATATTTGTGATGTGTGTAGAAAAGAATTTATTAAAGACACCATTGAAAATACACAGGCAGCTATATTAAAAAAGTAGTGAAAAATTTATGGGGGAAAAAAAATTGGCAAAGGACACTTGAAGTCCCATCAAAACTCATACTGATGGAAAAAAATGTGATTGTGATTTGAGTGTGAAATGATTTATGCTTCTTTAATTGTTCCTTTCAAATATACAATAAATTGTTATTTGTTTCAGAGAACATTCAGTGGAAAGGCCGACATAAAAAGCTCACATGAATTAAAGGTGAAGAAATAAAGTAATAATTGTGAAGTGCTTTAATAGAAATTTAAGGGGGGTACAGACTCACGTAAAATTACAGGAAAGTGAAAAAAAAATTGTAAAGTGGAAAAGCATTGAAAATTAAACAGCGATATCATATAATTTAAGAATACTATAATTCTAAAAATAATATAGTTTAATAACTTAAAATAATATTGTTTACTATAGTATCAAAGTTTTTACTGTAGTAAATCAAGGTTATTACTATATAGTCAATCAATTTCAGATTGTTAATTTTAAAGTTCCTCAATTCATACATGCACATTTTTGATATTAAATGTAAATATTACTTCTATATTCGCATATTTTTTTTTCAAAGTTAATATCATTTTTATTGGAGTAAAGAGATTTTATGCTTTGAAATTTCAAAAAAAAAAAGTTTTAAAGTTTCATAGTAAATAAAGTATCAAGGTATTTACTATAATTTACTATAGTAAATTTTTGTTAGAGTACATTCATTCATATACAGCCTTATTTATGAAGAGATGTTAACATATGCAAAGAAACAATAATTGTGAAGTGCTTTAAGAGAAATTTAAGGGGTCTTCAGAAACATAAAATTACAGTTTTGTTTGTTTGTGTAAGGTCCCTCTTGAGAATTTTTCACCCACATGGAGACGCCACCACTTGTCAGTGGAGAGCTGCAAATTTTGTCCTATACTCAGCACTTACAGCCATTGAGCAGTGAGGGATATTTTTCATGCCAGCACCTACTGCGACAGGGGACCTCGGTTTATACGGTCTCATCCTAAGGACTGGTCTCCACTTCCCACAGTGGGATTCGAACCCGCGACGTAAGGATCAACTTACTTCGCGACTCTAGAGCAGATGCTCTAACCACTGCGCCATGCGGGCGACCATAAAATTACAGTGAGGTGGGGAAAAAATCATAGTTGAAAAGCATTGAAAATGGAAACTAAACAGGGTTACATTCACACACATAGAGCCTTATTTATGAAGAGGTGTTAACATATACAATGAAACAAGAGGCCATATTTGAGAAAAGCGGAATGATGGTGCCACAAATTTTTTGGAGAGATGTTTGAAAATTGTGAAGGCTAAAAGGAAATCAAAATTTATAATAATGAAGTACAGGGTGGGGCAGAAGTTGAAATCAAGTTACTAGCAGAAAAAAAAATTTAACAGACCTGATTATTACTGAAATCCTGACAGTGTAATGTGCTCCCTTGAGACCATGTGAAATTATCTGCATTTAGACATATTAATTAAATTAAAACTTGCAATGCTCATATTAAACATTGTATAAAGCACAATTCTTTCGAATACATCAAATTAACTCACAACTGACTTCATTTATTGTAAATTATATTCTCTAACTAAGCATAATATTGCATATAAGTGATATTGATTCAACGTTGAATAAACCTTACTATTTTGACATCAGAAATAAAGTGCAAATTACACATCGTTCGTTAAATGTTCCTCACTTTATCAATGTTGAAAAATATGTTGCATCTTCCACGCTGTATCAATGTTGAAACATCAATGAACATTCAACATTGAAAATTTGTTGCTTCTTCACGATTATGTCAGCCTTGAAATGACAGCAAACATTCAACGTTGAAAATAAGTTGAATCTTCAACATTGAACTATCGACAAACATTCAACGTTGAAAATAAGTTGAATCTTCAACATTGAATTATCAACTAACATTCAACGTTGAAAATATGTTGCATCTTCAACGTTGTTTCAATCTTGAAATAACAGCAGACATTTAGTGTTGAAAATATGTTGAATCTTTAATGTTGTAAAAACGTTGAGGTTTCAACGTTGAATCCTAAATGTTGTAAAAACGTTGAACTAAAGTTGCTCAACATTGCAACTTTTGTTCCACCTACTTTCAACGTTGAATCAACGTTGCGTGCCTGTTGGGAAGTTTCTTCAAATCATGACACCCAGGACTAGGGTTGGGCCACAATGGGCGATCAGAGTTTTACATAGGAATGTATATGGAAATTCTTCAAAAATCGTCAAGAACAGCAAAGCAATGATTAGTCATATTTACAACAAAACTCGGTTATAGCGAAGTGTTGGGGACCTGCGAAATTACTTCGCTATATCCGTAATTCGTTATAACCGTATACCAAAGGACTATATTTGGTAATGACCAATATTTGCCCCCCAAAATCAAACTTTGATGGAGAAATCTTTAATTATGTTCTAAAACAGGGGGTTATCTGCAGACTTCAAAGCACTGAATATTTTCATAAGCCATGACGCCATATGTTAGATATGATGCCAGGAAAATGACGTAAATTCAAAATTTTCATGATTTACTCAGAAAAAGGTGTTTATAACGTCGATATTGAGTAAAAGTCACTAAGCGCAGGCCTGCTCCAACTCAATATTTTAATATAATGTGTAGAGTGATAATATCAATGAAATATGTAAATATTGCTCTGGAGCAGGTCTGCGCTCTATAAATTTTATAGGAAATTTTGTCCATTTTTTCCCCCTTTCTGATTGATTGTATGTTGTTTAACGTCCCTCTCGAGAATTTTTCACTCATATGGAGACGCCACCATTTGCCGGTGGAGAGCTGCAAATTTTGTCCTATACTCGGCACTTATGGCCATTGAGCAGTGAGGGATCTTTTTCGTGCCAGCACCTACTGCGACACGGGACCTCGGTTTATACGGTCTCATCCGAAGGACCGGTCTCCACGTCCCACAGTGGGATTCGAACCCGCGACGTAAGGATCAACTCCTTACTTCGCGACTCTAGAGCAGACGCTCTAACCACTGCGCCACGCGGGCGACTCCCCCTTTCTGAAAAATAACATAAAATCCGAATAGTTTGTGAAGTCATAGAAACAAAAATTGCCAATAACCTACTTTGAAACTATAATATTTTTTGTTCATTTAGATTTCTCATACAATATATAAAATTCAGCACATTTCAATCTTTTTCAAAATATGACTATTGGAGGGGGCAAAAATATGCATATACTGCATATAGTTCTTTGTTGAAGTATATATATATAGCGAATTCGTAATCTAAATTTTTTTCTTTCAAGTATGACTACCAAAATTAATGTATTTTGGGAAGTATTAAATACAAAAAATACCTTGGAGTTCAAAAATTGTAAAATGAAGTGAATCTCAAATTTAAAATACTTCGAAAAATAGTGTCAATTCAATATTTTAAAAATTAAGATCTTTGAAAATTCGCTATAAAAGATGTAAATTTCGTTTTTAACCTCTAGAGGACACATAATATATTCGCTATATCCGTTAATTCACTATATCCGAGTTCGTTATATCTGTAAAAAAATTAGGAGAGCAGGGAATTGTTAAGAATTTTGCTGGGCATTCCAAAAAAACGTCGCTATATCCGTGTTCGCACTAAACGAGTTTTACTGTACATGTATATTGAAGCATTAATTGTCATGTATATTTCATGCGACATGTATCGATGGATGACAATATGTGCAATGAGTTCTCGCCAGCGACAATATGAACAGGACGACATCGTTGCATTAAATAGCATACGATACACGTCGCACATCCGTCTCGCTTTTTCTGATTGGTTAACAGTGATACAGTTTAAATCTTTGACCGATCAAATAAAGCGAGACGGATGTGCGAACTCCTAAACCTTCTTCAAAGCTGTCAATGGAGAAAATTTTATGTATCCGATTAATAAATCGTCCGATTACGACATATAAAACACTGATGATGGGGTTTAGGTTACAGATATTAGTAGAAAAACATCTCCTTGACAGAGTGCTTGCAAAATTATAGGTAACGCTGTTATTACCTTGGAAATATGTCTCGAAGCAGGGAACCCCCCGTTTGTTTACAAATTTTGTTTCTTACCATGTGTATTTTTTATTATACCGTACAAGGCTATTCTTTAAACGTAAGAAAAAGTACAATCTGCTTGCATAGAACGACATATGGATGTGATTGATGGGGAAATTTTATATTTTTGAGAAATTATAAGCTCTTACAATTATTTTTATTTAAAAAAAAAAGGGGGGGGGGGCTATTGATCCACACTTCAAGCGCCTGTGCGAAATATGGCTGAAATATTGCCAACTCTGCGTTATACAACAATAATCAATCAATCAATCCATATAAATGTGACTAATCATTGCGTTGCTGTTTTTATAAAGATAATTTTTAAAGAAATTAAAAGTTCAATCGCCCATTGTGGCCCTACCCTAGGCCCGGTTTGATTTGAAGATACTTGAATTCTGCACTACCTGAGAATGTTTCCATATAAACAGGCCTACTACTGGTCTAAGTGGTGGATCCAGAAATTTCAGAGGGGGGGGGGGGGGGTGCAGGCAGTTCAGAATTTTTTTGACAAATAAAAAATTTTAAAAAGTCATTTGTATGTAAAGGTGTCTTACTGTCTTTCCACAAATTTTATTTAAAAATAAACTTTGTGATTGTTTGAATTATTGTCTATTATTACAGTTCATGATCTAATTAAAATATTATTTTCTTTCATAAACTTAAAATAATGTTTTTTATTATAATTTGGACTTCATATCGGTAATACTTAAGAGGTCTCTGTTATCCATTCAAATGTCAATGTTTACTTGTAAAAGAATGTATTTTGTTGTTAATTGAGGAAGTAGCAGTTTTTTTTATTGAATCTTGGTTAGAGTAAATCATGTAATCCTCTGCAGGAACTGTCCATTGTATTATGTGTAAATAATTTATTCATGGCTGTCTTTGATGTTCTTCTTGTTTATAGATAAGGTTTAATCAATTACGTAACAAAGATTGATCTCTTTTATATTTTTACTTTTTGGTTATAAATCTGTCAAGGCCTTAGGCCATGCACAGGTGCTTTGAGCTTGGTCAGCCTCAGGGGTCATCTTTTTTGGTCACGTGATTGCGATTACCGTGTTCAAATCCAAAAATGGTATATTTTCTCACTTTCATTTCTTCCGTAA